AATTCCTTAGGGTAGGTAGACGACTCTAGATACTTGCTCTAACTTCAAAACAAATCAAAAATACTTTTCACACCGACACCTTTTCAAAAAGCTTTCGAAAGCAACTTTTCAAACACTCTTGAGGACCGATACAAGAGTCGAACTGAAATTTTCAAAGAAACTTTTTAAAACCCACAATTGAAAAGCAAACAAACAATTTTGAAAACACATTGAGCAAGTACCTAAGAGCCCATGGATAACCATGGATAGAAAGGGTGCTAACACCTTCCCTTTCTATAACCTACCTCCCGAACCGAGAGCAATCTCTTTAAGGAATTTTTCTGTGCTTTTGTCCTTTCCATTTGGAGAAAATAAAAGACGGTGGCGACTCTTGCTTCCGCGACATTTCGCGAACCAGCGTTAAACAGTCAGTTCCAGATCCACCGATCACAACTACCCTGCCCCAGGTTTATATCAAAGGTTTTGATTGTTTAGAACAGAAAACTCCTACTTCTTTGGCTCGAAGGGGTTGACTAGGGATTATCTTCCTTATAACTCCAGTGTTTGGGATTTGAAAGAAATGCCTGTACATCATCAGCAAGGTCTGTTCAAAAGCATACTGTATAAGATTATGGTATTGTTTCGTCATCCTCCCTCTAAAGGCTTACAGCTTTTTATCAAGAGTCAAATATCATAAAGAAAAGCATAAGAGTAGTGAAACGAATGGATGAATTCAAGACAAACATATGCAATGCATTAATGAAAACAGAGTTTAACATCAACAAATGATTGTTTGACAGCAAAAGAAATTACAACTTTGAAAATTCAAAAATGAAGGAAAAGTCTTTCAGCTTGAGCTTCGTCACTTCAGGTGGAGAACCCTTTTAACGGAAGATTTTCATCTCGCCTTCTGGCATGAATTCCAGCACCCCAATGTCGATCAGATCTTGAATCTTGTTCTTCAAGGCCCAACAGTCGTTGGTGTCGTGTCCTGGGCTGTAGGAGTGGTAAACACAAAATGCGTCGGGACGATAGTTAGGAGAGGAGGTATTGAGCTTCTGAGGAGGATCCCTTAGGGTAAGTAGGTTGACCTCCAACAGACGCTTCAGTATGAAGAATGATGGTATTTCAGTCTCCGTGAACTGTCTTCCCGACGTTTCTTGCTTACGCCGATTACCCCGTTGACGCTGGCGAGGTTGTTGACGGGCTTGTGACCCTGAAGCAAGCAAAGGAGCTTTCCCCTTGTCTTCTTGAGTGGATGGAGGCTGAGCGGTGACTTGCTCTTCAACCTCAGATGTTTGCCCCAATTGGTTTTTTGGAAGCAGTTGACGGACAAGAACTCTGAGTTCCTCTTGTCTTTGAGATAGGTCTTGGATGAGAGCCATCTGGCCCACCAACTGTCCCATCACTTGGGTCCTTAATGTTGTCAGATCAAACTGCATCTCTGCAAGCTGATCACTCCTGGCCTTGTTGGAATTCTCCAAGCCCTTTGTGAGGAGAGCTTTCATCTCTTCTTGCCCCAGAGACAAGTTCAGGAACATTTCCTGCAGCTGAGCAGTCTGGTCTTGGATGTCTTTGACATACCTTTCTAGATCCATCTCTTACTGAAATAAACAGCAGGAGAGTAAGGAAACCTGAAAAAGGAAAGACTGTCAAAATGCAATGCATGATATGTGGATGCATGCTTTCAAGGATCTCTTGGGGTAAACACAAGAAAATGTTAGAGGTTGAACTTTGATCTTGATTGGAGAGCTTTGCGGCAGTGGATGTCTTTCCACGAGAATCAAGCTCACCATGTCAAGTGGGTCATAGCCACTGATTCAAGTTGTTGTACTTGATCTTTGTTTGGAGAACTTTGTATCGGTGGATGTCTTTCCACGAGAATCAAGCTCACCATGTCGAGTGGGTCATAGCCACTGATTCAAGTTGTTGTACTTGATCTTTGATGGCATTTGTTTAGAGGAGAAACCTCTTGCCCCTTGGTAGATGTCTGGTTCAACGTAACCCTGCATCAAAAGAACCTTCGAGATCCTTGAAATGGTTATTGAAAATGCTATGGTATGATGTTATGATGTTATGTACATGTATGCGACAAGCAAGTGAGTGTATATACAGGCAAACATATTCACACAAAGCAAACAAGTCCTTAGGTTTAGGCTTGCATGGGGTTCAGATACTACCCTCTTTCAGTTTCGTTGGTTAAAACCTATCCTATCAAAAGTAACCGGGTTCTAGAGGATCTCAAATCATTGGCTACCCTCGATCGGTCATAACTCCAACATCGCTATCTTTTCTTGCGGTTGGAACCATCACGAGAGTTTAGCCTCAATGAGTGTAGCATACTGCTACTGTTCTAATGGCCAAGTTGGGTCAATTTAGGGTTTTAAGGTCGGTTGGTGCTTAATGACTCCTTGGAAGACCCATATTCTCCCCGTTTCAACACAAGGGATATCGGTACAGACCAAGGTGCCACACCAACGTAGCCACTGCTTCACCCATGTCGGTATACCCCGGACAGGTCCCTCGCAGATTATGCTACCTAAAAAGGTTTCCCCCAGATCCGGGTTAGGATCTATAAAACTCCGATACAAAGCCCACAAATGTAAAAGCAAACAAAGCAATCAATTGAAAACAAAGGTGATCTAAACCCTAAGGTAACCCCACTTAAAAAATACTCCCCAGCAGAGTCGCCAGTTCTGTGATACGGTGGGAGAACTGACTGTGAGTTTTGCGTTTGTTTTCGCAAATGTTTCGGTTGAGCAAGAGTCGCCACCGACTTTTTATTTTATCCTAAAGGAAAGGTTAAAAAAAGCACAGCAAAAACCTTTTGAGATATTTCGTGGGTCCGGGGGGTAGATTATGAAAAGGGAAGGTATTAGCACCCTTTTCATCCATGGTTATCCATGGGCTCTTAGTTACTTGGTTTTTTAGATCACTTGCCTTGATTTTCGATTGCTTGAAATTATGGTGTGTGTGTGTGTGTTTTGAAAATGTTTTGGAAGAAGATGCCTTGTCTTAGGCTACCCTTGTAACAATTCTTTACTCGAATATTTTACAAAAGGTGTGTATCTTTTCGAAAAGATGTTTCAAAATGTTTTGAGAGTTCGTTTTGAAAGTGCTTGTGGAATGTGGTTTTTGAAAAGAAGGTAAGTGTTTTTGCAAGTTGATCTCAAGTAACTAAGAGTTTTGTCTACCCTATTGTACTCAAAGGTTTTCTCTATGTTTTCAACCCTTTTTAACAATTTTGTTCCACCATTGCATTTGGTGGACAATCTTGCGTTTAGGACGTTTAACGGGACGGGCGCGGGTCATCGTATGGACCATGAATGCAATGATGCCAAGTGTCTTTGGCAATTTGCTTTGAAGGGACTATGATCATTCCATTTAGGCAACATTCGAAAGCGTCATCGAGGGACTTATGATCATTTGAATTTGTTTTGCCAAAGATACTCGACGTGCAAGCATGGCCCATTTTGGAAGGCAACATGTGGGATTACCCTAGAGGGTGCAAGTGTGATTGTGTATTGATTTCATGTATTTGTCTTGTATTAGGTTATCTAGTGTTTGATTTTATGTACCTGCAAACCCTAGGTCTAACCATGGTATAATTCAAAAGCGGTAAATTGCGGAAATGTAAAGTCTACGCTATTACAGAATAAGTATCCGGGAGTGGGGGTACAAATTTACGAATGGGGATGAGACTTAGGAATGTAATGTCCAATAAGTTACAACCAAATCGAATTTGCGATCAAATGTAAATGTAACGAATATACAAAATAAACAAATGTATAATGTATCAAAATGCAAGTATATTGTGTAAGTGTGCGTGCATATGTGTATTTGTATATGTAATTATTTACAGGTGCGACAATGTGAATTAATGAGAGTATTATTAAGCATTGTTTTAAGTTAAATGAAAAGAATTAAATGTTTATTAATCTTTAATTTGGGATCTTGTATTTTCTTTAATATGTACAAAAGGGAAATTTAAGAAAAGAAAATATTCTAAGTTTGAAAGTTATTATTTAAATTGTGTATATAAATTTGCATCCTTATATCCTTGTGTTTAAAATGTACAAAGAGTATTTAAATTAAATGTTTTAAATTAATTAAAAATATATTTTTATGTATGTACAAATTAAGTATTAATCTTATGAACAATTATATTTATGTATAAATATTCATGTTATTTAAAAGAAAAGGAAAATGCTATCAATTTTAATTACATTGTTGTATAAAAGATATATTTCATTTATTATGTACAAATAAAAGTATTTTAAGTTAGAGAGAAAGATATTGTGTTCAAAAATATAAAAAAAAGTTTGGTGTTAATTTATTAAAATAAACTTGTTTGATAAAAAGGGTTAAGCTAATTAATTAACAAAAATAATTTGTTTTATAAAAAGAAAAGGGTTTAAGCTTCTAAATGGGCCTTTGGTGGTTGGAACGGGCAAGGCCCAGAGTTTTGAAACAAACAGTTTTAGGGTTAATGCGTTTTGTGTTCAGTCTGGAATATGCTTAGGGTTTGTGCGCCGTTTGTTCATCGTTCTTGCCTCATCTTCTTCGTCCTCAATGCTGAAATGCAAACCTCCGCCCAGAGCCACCATGCCATCTCCTCCTCCGTCTACCCTCCTCCATGGGTCATTCACGTTAGGTACAGAAGTTTGTTTTCAGTCTCGTTCAGAATTTCTTTTCGTCTTGCATGCCATGGTTTCACATTTATTGATTTTTGTTTACTGATTTACGCGAGGTTTTGAAGAAAGAATGAAAAAGATTTTACCTTTGCGAAGGAGGAGGAAGGAGGCACTTGGAGGCTTGACGGGCGGAGGGTTTGCGCGATGAGATTGGCTTTTTGGTGACCCTGGTATTTCTATACTCTTCTCTAGGCTTTATGATGTTCGCCTGAAAGCTTGATACACATGTCTTCTTTTCTTCTTCTCCTTCTTGTGTTGCCTTCTGTTTATGTCGCCTCAAATGTTTGCTTTTGAACGATTTGCCTTTGAGTTGCCTTTTGAAATGTGATGCCTTTGATGTTGCTTCTGAACGATTTGCCTTTGAGTTGCCTTTTGAAATGTGATGCCTTGAGATGCTTCGTATTGCCTAATGATGAAGAGATTCTGAAGGCATTTGGTGGGTTTGGGAAATTGGCTTTACAGGTTATGTATATTCTGGTATGGCTTGTGATGTTTATGCTTGTATGTGAGTTGAATGGTACAGGTTTTTGGTTATGGCCTTTGACAGGTTAGGCTTGAGGCTTGAACTGAATGGTACAGGTACAAGTTTGGAACTGGAGGGGTGTTCTGAACTGTTTTATTGCTAACTGTTTTTGAGGTTTTTCATTCTCTTGCTGGTTATGAGCTTAGGCAGGTTTTATGCTTAGGTGAGTTTTTACTGGTTATCTTAGGCAGGTTTAATGCTTTTCGTGTTTAAGGCTTGGCCTTGCTTGCTTCAGGCAGGTTTGACAGTTCTGAGTTCCTTGGGTTTGTGATTTTGGTTCTTTGACAGGCAGGGTCAACTGGTTTTGGTTATGGCTCTGGGTATTTGTTTGTTTATAGTAGCTTGATGGTTATGTGTTTTTTGGAAAGGGATAAGGCTTTAACAGGTTTAATGCTTGAGGTTTAGCAGGTTTTTGATACTTTTGGTTTTGAAAATGGTAACGCCTTTTATATTTTTTTTGTGTTGGAGTTTTGAACTTGTCTATTGAACTTGGGTCAATGTTCTGGTAGAGGTTTTTGACAATTGTTACAGGTTATGCTTTTTTTTTGGGTTAGCAGGTTAATGCTGGCTTATGGTTTTAGTTGACAGGATCCAAGGTTTGAGACAGGCCCTTTGGTTATGTTGATTTTGATGATAGGCAGGACAGAGTTAAGGTTCAGTAGGCTTGGCCTTTGTTCAGTAGGCTTTGGCCTCTTTTTTTGATATCTTTCTGATCTCTCTCTCCTTTTATCCACTGTGTTCAGTTTTGTTTTATATTAACTTCCTGCCTAAAGCCTGTAACCTACTTTCTTTTTCTCTTCTTCTTCTCTCTCTCAGTACAGTTGCATTAAGATATTATTTATGCATTGTACTTCTTGTTCTAAAAGGGCCACTTTATTTTTGGGAAATGATGAAAAGAAATAGCTTTGCTTGCATAACAAATTTCCTCTGCATATTTGTCCCTTCTTGACAGCTTTTGTGCTTTTAATATCTTTCCAAATCTTCTTCTTTGGTAGCCTTGAATAGCTTTGTGACATTTTGACAGCAAGTTTGAATTTTTCAGTTTGGACTTCTAGTTTGGTTTGAACTTGGAGTTTTGAGATTTTGAATTTATGCAGTTTGGATAATTTTTGAATTGTGCAATTTTGACTTTGTGCATTCATTTTTCAGCAAATAAAAATTCGTCCCTCTTTGTGAATCGGGAGAAATCCCGTGATTTGCAGAGAGGGTTAACTGATCCCAATCAGTGGCCCTTAATGATGAACTGTCTTTTATTTATCTGTCATTATTTATTTATCTGCTATTTGACTTTTCTTCTTTTCTTTTGCAGATGAATATTTGAATGGAGAGGGGTATTAAATGAAGAATGAAGAATTAGAAAAAAATAGGATAGTTTCATTTTTTATTTAAATTTAAATTAATGTAAAATTATTGTTGTAAATAAATTGTAAACAATAATTGTACGAATAATTTAAAAATAAATAAAAGTTTTTATTATCCAATTAATTCTATTTCCTCTTTTATTGTTTATTTATTATTTAAAATTCTTTGAATTAAAATAATTGAAAAATAAATTCCAATCACTTAACCTCAGAATAATAAATAATTTAAATAAACAATGCTTTAGCAAATTACTCAGTTAAACCTGGCCTTTCCAATATCCAAAGCAAAGCAACAGTTAACCAAAACAGCTAATCAGGCGCATTCCCTTTTCACTGATTTTTTATCAAACACTGTAAATCCAAACTGTGTGCATCCTTTGACTGGTTCAAACAAACAAATGTGAATTCAATCCAAATGCATTCTTTTTACTGATTAAGTCAGACAAATGCGAATTCAATCCAAATCTCGGAATAACTTGCAAAGTGCTGTAGAATTTAAATCCTTCTGAGAACGTGCCCAAAAAACCCTAATTCCTGATTAAATTCCAAAGAGCGTTCGCCTGATCAAAGTTGAGCCAAAATCAACCAAAACCCTAAGCCAACTGTGTGAAACATTCCAGAGCCCTGAAAAATCAATAAAACCCTAATTTTGCTTGGCTGACGAGAAAAGTCCGTTTGACCGATTCTTGAGCCAATCTGAAAAATCAGGAAACGCATGAAGCTGTGATTTCTTGTGGAAAAATGCGAGGGCAAATTTTGGGGTACAACACTTGTCATATATTTATAATTATTATAAAAAACATAAAAAACATGCTTTTTATAATTTAATATTTATTTAATTTTTGTTAATATGTTATTAATCTTTAATTATTCAAAAAAATATATGTTTTAGTTTTTTATTTAATATTTGTTATTTGTTTAATTGTAAAAAAAACATGCTATTGTAAGTTAGTCTTTATGTAATTTTGGTTATTTACTTAATCGTTTAAAATACATGCTAGTATAATTTAATTGTTCAAGTTGTATTCTTAATCTTGTCATCGATCGTTAATATCTTTTCAAATCCAAGGGAAATGTTTTGACTTTGTTGACTTCACGTCACCAAACACGTCTCGTCTAATCGCGCGAATACCCTCATTCATCTTTCATTTGTTTATTATTTTGTTAAAACTTAAGATAATTTCCCCAAAGATTTAATTTTTAGACTCACACCTTTTAAGTCAAAACTTCTGTATTAGGTCATCGTATCTTCGAAATCTCATCCGCATCCACTTTTAGCCAAACAAACCTTTTTTTAATCAAGTCAAAAATAAATAAAAAACTCTTTAATCATTACTTGAACTTATTTTAAAACTCGCAAAAACACTCAACCAAGCAAAACTCCCCCAAGGGCATGTTATCTCTGTTCTACCGCGATATCGGCTGTGCCTATTGCTAGAATGAGTGCGTTAATGTCGCCCACTAAAAAACACAAACAAATAAACCATTTTCTAGAGGAACTACGGTGTTCTGATTCCTTCATTGGATACGTAGGAAAAGGGTCGCGAAACCCTCACGAACGCAATAATAAAAACCTTTCTTTCCCCTTAAGCAAGCATAATTGTAGATAAATACACCCTTTAAGACAAACAAACAAAATGGACCCCGTTGGGTACAACGGATGCGAGGGGTGCTAATACCTTCCCCTCGCATAACCGACTCCCTTACCCTTTCTCTTGGTCGCAAGACCATCTTATCCATTCCCTTGTGGTTTTATCGATATTTCCCCTTCCTTCGGGATAAATAAAGTTCGGTGGTGGCTCTGTGTTTTCGGCCGGTAGCTTCAGGTACCGAGAAAAATTTATTTTAATCTTTAACTTATAGCTTTTAAAAAATACATGGTTGAATTCCTTGTCAAAAATTAAGCAAGTTTGATGTTAACATCTTTTAATTTGGTTGAGAATGAAGGATTTACAAAATCAAAAATGGTGAAATTATGTTGTTGTTGTTACTACTTGCGCACGGGGAAGAAGAAGGTTGAGCTGGCATTTTCAAATTCTCATGACCTGGTTTATAATATATTTATTGGTTTCTGTTTCATAATCGGATGAAATAGCCACCCCAGTGACAACGCGCGTGTGGTTAAGGATTACCTATGCTTGGTCCTGGGTTTGATCCAGGCGTGGGGCAATTTTATTTTCTAACGTTTTCATTGTAGATCTAGTACAAACCAGGCACACGCGCTCATCATACACCTCATGTTACAAGCTTCATATCTTAATAGATCCAGATCTAGCGCTTCAGATGTGTCCTCCTCATAGTGAACCTCAAAGAACTGTCCTCGTCAGATCCAGGACAGATGCCTGGGCTCCTTGAGTTGGGCTTAGACTTTTGTTTCTTTCTCACCCCCATTTTACTTGTTTGCAGACCCATTCACTTTCTTTTTTTAATTAACTATTTTTATTTGCTTAATTAATTTTTATTTAATCACAAAAATAAAAAAATCATAAAAATTAGATTTAGTTTTTTTTCTTGATTAATTAATTTAATTTTTGATAATTAAAATTAATTTAACTTAATCATATTTTGCTTTTATTTATTAATCAACTAATTAATTAATTAGGATTAGGGTTTATTCTTATACTTTAATTATTTTTCTATAACAAAAACAACAAAAAAAATATTTTTCTTAAAACACTCTTAATCTTTTTTAGGGTTCTGATATCTTTTCCCTTTTCAATCTCCGTGCGCTCGTTTATCTTTTCGCATTATTTTCCAATATTATGTAATTGTCAATGATTTATAATAGATAATTATGGTTTATTGCTTTCCTCCCCATTTTTTATAGTTTGTACTCTCCATCTCCGAAGCGATGTAATAGCATGGATTATTTCCCGCATTTTTACTTGCCGCACTTGTATATATTTAACTGCTAGATTAATTAGGCGTGCATGGCAAGACATAAAAAACAAACGTTAGAAAACCTAATCTCAAGACAAATACTTGAAATCAAAGCACTTCGCACACACACACACACCTCTAGGGTGACCCTCACTTTGCCTCAGATAAAAACACAGTCATGTCCCTCGAACGTTGGATGCTTTAGCAAAGACCCTCGATTAAAAAAGATCGTAGTCCCTCGATGACCATTCGATGTTGCCTTCGGTAAACGATCTTAGTACCTTACAAAAATTTCTAAAGCATCCTGCAAGTTGCCTTCTATGACTGTATGATGATCCGCACCTGTTCCTCACATCCAACGATAGGGTTCCTACTAACTAAGGGTAGGATAACACTATCTAAAGGAAAGAGGAAAAGAACAAAGACTTTTGAGTAGGTAGATAGCTCGTAGTCGCTTGCTCACAAACTTTTCAAACAAAACATCTTTTCGCAAAACAACACTTTCTTTCACAAATATTTTCAAAAACAAAATTTTTGTATACATTCTCAATGATACGAGAATCATTACAAAATTTCCGCACTTAGGCATTTTCAAAATATTTTTAAACATACATAAGCACAAAGCATTTCCAAAAAAGTGTGCTAGAAATTAAGAGCCCGTAGATAAATACGGATGAAAAGGATTCTAACTCCTTCCCTTTTCATAACCTACCCTCCGAACTCAGAAAATTCTCAAAAGGTCTTTCCTGTTCTTTTCACCATTTCCTTTATTAGATAAAAGAAAAGTCGATGGCGACTCTTGCTATCCGCAAAATTTGCAATAAAACGCAAAATCCAAAAGTCAGTTCTCCCACCATATTACATATTCCATCACTTACCACCATACTCCTTCCCCTCCCATTTGGGCAGAATAAATAATTTGCCTTGTTTCGTCCTTAGGGTATGTTTGAATTGATGGAAGAAAGTGAAATGGAACGAAACAAAATGATGTAAACTTATGTTACATTGTTTGGGTTGATTAAAAACGAATGGAATGGAGCGGAATCAGATAGAATGCATTTCATCTCATTCCATCACTTTCCACCATTTTTTTACCCTCTAATTTGAGCGGAATAAAAAAATCTCTCTATTCCGTCATGAAATACCCAAACAATAGAATGTTATCTTTATTCCATTGCGCTATGCTCCAATCATTTTACTATATCTAAACATAGCGTAAAATTTCAAACAATGAAATGATATCTTCGTTCCGCTCCGCTTCATTGAATTACACTTTGCTCTATTTCGCTCCGTTCATTTTATCAATCCAAAAATAGCATCAATCACCAACATGGCTCTCACCTCACATGAGTCGGTCCCTTACACAACCACAAATACCATAGTAAAGGGCTTATCACCGCTGCGAGCAAGCTCTCACCTTTAAAACATGTTATACACCTACTAAGACCTCTGAGTCTCTCTGTCCTTGCAGGGGGAACACCCACACCTGTACTTTTTAACCATACAATGGTGTCCACCATGGGGCCCCGGTAACACTAACATAGGCCACATTTTCATTCAAAACCTTTCAGCCTCCTTTTTTTTATGACTAACAGGGTCTTACATCACGAAGCCAACATCGTTGTCGGAGGTATCTTAAAGAGGGACTATTCTAGAGCCACCCGAAGAAGATACCTGAAGCAAGTGTTCGCGAAAAATGGCATATACCTTGGATTTCTTGGAAACACCATGGGAAAAGTAGGGGTCGACATCATTTTCTTCGAAGAGGATGCCTTAGACATCAACCCTCACGACAATGATTCCTTGGCCATCACTGTTCAACATGATAACTTGGATATCATGCACGTACCAATAGATTCAGGTAGCTCCACAGATGTCCTATTTTGGGATGTCTTCTAGAAATTACAAATGAATATGGACGACATGCAGAGATTCAACGACTCTCTGATGAAATTATGGCGAACAAGTATAAATAATAAATTATGTGACCTTAAAAATCACATGTGACGAGGGAGCGACACCAAGACCATTAATATCAGCTACCTCATCATAGACACTATGACACTATAATAAAAAATAGAATTTAAGATGCATGAGTTACAATATTTACCCACAACTACCCTAATTTCTCATCTATGACGATTTTTTCGCGACTGTTAAAGCCAACCGTCTCATGTTTTTTTGGTTAAGTAAAGGTAAAATATATAAAATCCCTTTTGGTGAAAGGCACAAGTCAGATTTCATATTTTACAAAGTTGCAAGAACCGACTTCGCTCAAAATTCACGATCGTTCTCCACCAACCGCCATGTTCCTATACACCAATTTTTCAAATCATGCAGCTATGATTTCCAATTTCTACCTCCCTTTCATTTTCTTTCACAGCCGTAAACCTTTGTCTCTTTTCTATCCAAATTGAAACCATATTCCATTTTCCTGAAATTGCAGAACTTTCTTATTCTATCAATCTCAGAATCCCAAAATCATTCTTCTCGCATATCTCATGTAGAAAGAAACTCAATGAAGGTATGCTTTCTCGTGTTTTTATGTTTTGTATTTATTTGAAGATTTTGTTTCAATTTGGGTATTTAGGTTTTATTCATTTTAATTCCCATGGAATCATTTGTAGATTATGTTTGTTTTGATTTTTGGATTAAGGTTTTGTTCCATTTATTTCTAAACTATTGATACTTCACATGTCTATTTCAGGAGGAATTTTTTTTGGTTTGAGAGAAATGTTTCAGACTATGGATAATGATAGATATGGTGTAATGAATTTCAATGAACTGAAAGGTGTTCTTAGAAGGTATGTATGTATCCTTTGGTTTGGTTCTGATTTACAGAGAGTAAGAGCAAGAGGTTTTCATTGAAGAAGAGGGTTATGATTTGTATAGAGGTGAGACACCGCTCAAACCTAGGATGGAAATATTTTTCAAAAAATCAAGCCAAGTAATACTTTGAAATTGAATGATTGTCTTGGATTTGAGACACCGCTCAAACTATTGAAGAATTATTCAAGAAGCTACGAGGTAAAAGAAGATCATTTTCATGTCTAATGTTAGAAGATTACCTAGTGTGATTTACCTACTGTCAGTTTAAATGCATTCATACATGGAATTTGCTTACATTTACTTCTATTTTGTACTATTATATTTGGTATTAAACTCATTATTAATTGTCTAATAAATTGAAGAAAAGAGTTTGTGTGCCACTATTTGTATTAAAAGGTCCTGGCCACCATTGTAACTCGTAGATTCTACACTCTTTGGTCTATTACATGGATACTTAATTGGTGGTTCATTAGAAAACAAGTGATATAAGAATAAATCTAGATACATGACTGTCATGATTATACATGAAGGTTCGAGAAACATAAGAAATAGGGGTTTGAATTGAGTTTTTAAGAATATGATATTTTTCGAAACCAAACACTTGAAGTTAACACAAGAACAAAAATAGGTGATTTGCCTTTCTCAACAAGAACTTAATACACTATAACCAAACTGATTACAGACACAAACAAAGAATAATTAGTAATGTTTACAACTACAAAGACTACTCATCAATGTCTTCTTGAGAATTTTGACTAAAGCCCTAGTCTCTCAAGGAACTGTAGCGGTGAAAATCGGAGATCAAATTATTTATTAACTTGAATCGCAAATAAGCAAGAGTCGTCACTGTACTTTATTATTTTCAAAGGAAAAAGGGAAATGTGTGAAATAAAATTCGTAAATATGCAAAGTAAGTACAATACTAAAAGTAAAAAAAAAATACAATGCATTTGAGAGAGATCGAAGGTTTGGGGGTTGGTTATACAAAATGAAGATACTAGCACCCTGTGTATCTATAGTATCTTATAGAAACCTTTAGAAATATCTGTTTTTTTGGTTAAAATTGGTTTGCTTGCTAAATGAGTGTGGGGATGAGATTTTGAAGATGCGACGACCTAATGTCGAAGTTTTAGCTTAAAGAGTGTAAGTTTTAAAATTGATTTTTTAGGAGATTTGTGTTAAGATTAACAAAATTAAAGATGGATGAAAGAATTTGTATAATCACACTAGATAAATGATAATATGAAGTCAACTAATTAATTCTTTCCCTTGAAATTACACAAGCAAGCAAAAATAAGATGAATATCAAAATATAAATAATCGAGAATCCACAAAAAAAAAAAAATCTAAATAAACAAATAATAACAAAGAGGCAATGATAAGTTTAATTTAAAATGACAAGGACAATCAAATACAAATGAAAGAGAATGTAACTAAATAATTTAACTAACAATGTTTTACCAAACTAAATTAAAATTATAAGGTCATTAATTTTAAAATTAAGTAAAAATTCTAAAGATACTAAGTTAAGTCTAAACTAAATTAAAATTCTAAAGTTACTAACTAAATTCTAAATTAAACTAATCTAAATAATAAAAATTATCTAATACTTTGTACGCATTCTCGAGAATCATTACAAAGTTGCCTTACTATTGAAATTTCTAAATATTTTTCAAACACACGAACACAAAGCATTTTCAAAAGTGAGCTAGCGATTAAGAGCCCATAGATAACTACCGATGAAAAGGATGCTAATACCTTCGCTTTTCATAATTTACCTCCCGAACTCAATAAATCTCAAAGGTCTTTCCTGTTATTTTCATCCTTTCCTTATTGGATAAAAGAAAAGTCAATGACGACTCTTGCTATCTGCAACATTTGCGATAAAATACAAAAACAAGTCAGTTCTCCCACCGTATTTCAGAACTGGCGACTCTGCCGGGGAAATATATTAAAAAGAGAGGTTACCTTTAGAGTTAGATCATTTTTAAATGCTTTCCTTGTTTGCCTTGTATGCTTTACATTTGAGGGTTGCTCGGGCTTACTTTTCTTGCAAAGATCCTACACCTGGATCTGGGGGCATTTTGGTAAGTAGCAATAGATCATGGAAACTATACGGAATATACCGATATGGTTGAAGTGATGGCTACATTAGTGCGACACATTGGTTTGTACTGGTATCCCTCAAATCAGTCGGGGAGAATACTAGGCTGTCGTGTGGTGTCATAAGCACTAACTGACCTTTAAAATCTTAATTGACCCGACTTAGCCATTAGAAGATAGTGAGATAGGTGGCTTTGGTGCAGTCTGAAGTTGGTTGATACTCGATACTACGCTCATTGAGATTCGACTCTCGGGTTTTGTTTAGTGGCAAGTCAGTTGTCGTGCTAGACAAAACTTGTGGGAAAAATCAGTGATATTGAGATCCCTAGAATCCGATTGCTATTCTTAGGACAGGTTGAGCCAACTAAACTTCAAGGGATAGTCACCTATGAACCCCATGCAAGCCTAAAACCTAAGGTTTTTTGCGTGCTTTGTTTGGGTTTGTTATGTGTTCAAACATGATATCATAACATCATAACATCATATCATGACCAACCATTTCAAGGATCTAGGGGATTTATCTTTATTCTGTGTTGCAGGGTCATGGCTTCTAATCGTAGGAATACCATCCGAATCAACTTTGTAAGGATATCTGTGACGCGATGGGAGAACTGACTTGAGATTTTGCGTTTGTGTTCGCAAATGTTGCGGTTTAGCAAGAGTCGTCACCGACTTTTATTTTATCCAAAAGGAAAGACAAAAAAAGCAAAAGAAAGACCTTTGAGATTGTTTTTGGGTTCAGGGGGTAGGTTATGAAAAGGGAAGGTGCTAGCACCCTTTTCATCCATAGTTTTTCATGGGCTCTTAGTTACTTGTTTAGATCACTTGCTTTGCTTTTGCAATTGTTTGAAATGGTGATTTGTGTGGTTTTGAAAGTATTTTGAAAAGAGGTAATCGTTTTGGCAATCTTTGTAATGATTCTCGTTCGTAAGAATGTATACAAATATGTTTGTCTTTTGAAAAATGTTTCAATGTTTTGAAAGTTGTTTGGAAAATGTTTTGAAATGTGTGTGTGATAGTTTGAAAATAGCAAGGATTGTTTGCAAATTGATTAAGTAACTAGAAGCTTATCTACCTACTCAAAAGTCTTTCCTATACATTTTTATTCCTTTGACATTGTTAACCTACCATTGTTTTGGTAGATAATCCTATCTTTGGATGTTAAACGGGACGGGCGTGGGTCATCGTATGACCATGATAGCAATTGTGCCAAGTATCTTTAGCATTTTGAGGGACTAAGATCATTTGTTTGGGCAACCTTTTTGATAGCGTCATCGAGGGACTATGATCTTTTGTTTTGTTTTGTTTTGTTTTGCCAAGATACCTAGCATGCATACCATGGTCATTTATGTTTAAGGCAACCAAGTGGGTGAAACCCTAGGGGTGCTTGTGTGCAATGTGTTGTCATTTTTCATGCATTTTTGTCTTGTATTAGGTCATGTTATTTGTTTGATTTTATCTTATCATACAAACCCTAATTTACTAAACATGTATATAATGCGATAAATTGCGTAACGTAAATCTAAACTATTACAACAATATTATGGGAGGGGGATACAAGTTTTTGAATGGAGATATTTGCACAAAATAAAACTCTAATTCACTATTACAACCCAATTGAATTTATTGTACAATAAATAAATAAACAAGTGTTTGAATATGCAATAATATGTATTTATGCAAAATGTTTTGTAATTGTTTTATGTATGAGAAAATAAAATTATCTAAGTCCTAAAAATAAGAAGAAATAATTTTATTATTTTTAAAAGGGAAAACCTTAATTTTGTTTTAAAAGAAAATATGTTTTCTATTATTTATTTGTCCATTTTTGTTTAAGAAAAATAATAATAATATTATGTACAAATATTAAAAATTAAATATGTATGAAAAATAAATATTTAATGTGTATAAAACATGAAATAAAATATTAAGTATTTTATTATTATTTACAAGTTTATTTAAGAAAATAAATTCTATAAACCTAATAAACTATTTTTATGTCAAAAAATAATAAAATAAAATGTAAAAAATTAAGAAAATATTTTTGAGATTTTTTAATGTTCAGAAAAAAAATAATAAAGTCAATAAACACAAAAGTAAAAAGAAAATATGAAAAATATCAAAATATGCAAATGGGGGTGCAAATAGGAAACAAAGGGGTGTGAAAAGTCGGAAATGCAAGGCCCAGGCGCGCCAGGCCCATAACTTGTCGTCCCTGTCCTCCAACCAAACAAACGCGCGCGCTTCTTCTTCAAATCTGGAACTTGCTCATGCTTGCATAAAATCAAAAACTCATAACACAAAAAATGTAGCTTATGAACTCACGATTCCAATGATATAAAATTCATGATCTAACTCTCAAAGATCAGGGAGAATTTTAATGGCCCTAATTTCTGACCTAGTTTTTTCAACATGTTCAAGAACTAAATACTCTTAGCTCAGTTAATATAAATGGAAAATATGCATATGTACAGCTTCAGCAAGTTAAGGACTACATTTTTTCTTCACAAATCAAAGCCTAAGGATTCTTAAATATAGAGATAGAACTTTGAAAAATACCTTGTTCAGTTGAGTTTGGATATGGCAATGTGGGGACTTTGAGTGAGGCCTGAAGATCGTGTGAGCTTCCTTAAAGTTCCCTCAAGCTATCCCAATGCTCAACTTGCCTTGAGGATGCTTGAAACTTCCTGTAGAAGTCAACCTGCAACCTTTAAAAATGAAAATGGTGAAGCTTGAAACAGGGGTTACAGTTGCAAGACAAGGGCCTGGATAGTTTAGGTGTGATGTAGGGAAGATGTTTAAAGTGTTACAAAGCAAAATTCACGAGCAAATTTCAAGTTAGCAAGTGCTTTGCAGAAGTTGCCCTGTTTGGGCAAAAAAGTGTGATTTTGGTGTTTGAGAGTGTTTTTGATGTTAGCAATTCGTGCTTAGGCTTGTTACAAGTTTCTGAAGTTGTTCCAAATGAATCCAAGCGTTGCCTTTATGAGATGCACAAGTTGTCTTGACTTTTGCAAGTTTGCTTGCTTTTGAAGAAAATTGAAGTGACAATGCCCAAAATGTTGTACTTGCTAGTTTTAGGGCTGCAAGGAGTTGGTATGCTTTGCTTGATAACTGTGGATCTTGCTTGTGACAAAGAAACATGTCCAATGCTCAAGGATAGCAAAGTTGTAAAAAGCTAGCTTTTATGAAAGTAGTATTGTGAATTTTATGCCATTTTTGGATTAAACTCTTGTACAATGCTCCATAGGTCAGAATAAAGTCAATATCCATTGAGTTTGCATTTAATTATGGAGTATAGAAAGGATTAGGACCTGTAATGCAATGTACAAGCATGCTAGGACAAATTTGCAACTTGAACCATTGTGAAAATGCCTTGAACAAAAGTGATAAATTGCTATTTTCCCTTCTTCGATTCTCCCTAACCATAAATGATCTTGGAGAGTTCTTGGACATTTTGGAAAGCTTGCAACATGCTCTACAATCCATATTTGAAATGAATTTTGAGATACCTCTTGGAACTAGGTGAAAAATGTCCATGAAGTTAGGTCAAAATCCTGCCTAAATTAGGGCAAATTTTCACTAAGTTAAAAAGTTTATGGACCCCTACTCACAAAATCATAACTTGAGATCCAAGCATATTTTGGGAAATATTTGTGAATCAAAGTTGTATATTTCATGGAGGACTACAACTTTCATGTTGGAAGTTTTCTTTGAATCCAATTGCATCATGGTGAAAAAGTTGTGGAAAGTTGGAAAAAAATAAGAAATTTTCCATACTTAGAAAAATTCTAAGTTATGAAAAATTTCAAATTAAAACCCTAATTTGAAATTTTAGGTTTCTTGGTGAACAAGTTTCACATTTTGACATATATTGATGAATTATGACCCTTGACACTTGATTTTGGCCAAAAAGTTAAAGTTTGACTTTTCAGTGTACAATTGATTTTTGATCAGTTGACTGGAAAATTCATCTGTCAATCCTATGCATTTGAGATCTTTTGAACTATGTGATTAGGTCAAGATGATGCCATTGAGTCCTTTAAATCATGCTTGAACCCAATTGGTCATTGGATAGGTAAAAAATCAGAAATTGTCATTTCTCAGTCAAAACCCTAATTTTGACCATTTTGCCCTTTTGATGATCTGATCAAATTTCTTGAAGAGTTGTGATCCAAACTTGATTAAATGGTACATAGGAGCCTATATTGTTGATGTGGATCAAAAATTATGAAGTTTGACTGTAAATTGGCCATGGTTGACTTTTTCCCCAATATAGCTGATTTTTAGGTCAACTGTCCAATTGGCTGGGCAAAAATGTGATTCAAGGCTTGAAACTTGGTATGAGCAATATTAGGGGTCCAAGATGGTATATGAAAGTCACATGAAGCATTGATGGTCCAAAAATCCTTGTGCAAACTCAAACCCCAATTTCAAGTCATCAGTGTAAGATGAGGTCTTTAGGTGGGCAAACCCTAATCCTGTCTTGAGTCTAAGAAGTCTGGTGAGGAAAAATCTTGATAATATGAGAGAGAAAATTTTGGGGTACAACAACGGCCCCTGTTCAATCTTCTTGAACCTGAAGAGTTAGATTGGAGAGTTTGTCGTTCGTGACTCGAAGGTAAAAGATGATTGGACACTCGAGTGCCCGTAAATTTGCACTCGTCAAAATGTAGTTGAGGAAATATGCTTAAAGATGCCATTTGGAGATTTGATAGAATCTTGTTAGAGATGGGCTTGTAGATGCCATCCAAGAATGTTTGTTGAATTGTAAGTTGTAAGTCAAAGGAATAAGTATCAGAATGGTATCCGCATCTGGAACGTATTTGAATTGTATCTAGAGACTTGTAATGAGAAATAGAATAGCATCCGTATATGGAGCGTATCCAAGCTGTATCTGAACTTTGTAATAGAATATCATCCGTGTCTGGAGCGTCTCTGAGTTGGGGAAAATCAGAATAAGTGACAGAATGACATCCGTACCTGGAGCGTATCTGTACTGTATCTGAGATCTGAGTCTGAACGAGAAACAGAATGACTTCCGTGTTTGGAGTGTATCTGTACTAGAATCTGAACAAGTGACAGAATGACTTCCGTGTCTGGAGTGTATCTGAACTGTATCTGATAGTTGAAATCTGAATAAGTGTCAGGATGGCATTCGTATCTGGAGCGTATCTGAACTGTATCTGAAATATGAATCTGAATGAGCAACATAATGACTTCCTTGTCTGGAGTGTATCTGAACTGTATCTGATAGTTGAAATCTGAATAAGTGTCAGGATGACATCCGTATCTGGAGCGTATCTGAACTGTATCTGAAATCTGAATCTGAATGAGCAACAAAATGACTTCCTTGTCTGGAGTGTATCTGTACTGTATCATGATTGTATACTGTTAATGGTAGCTTGTTAGTCCTATCCTGAAAAGGGTAAAATGTTAGCTGAAACACAAAGTTAATGTTGCATGGAATGTATGATGCAATAAATGTGTTTTATCAATGTTCATGATATATGGATGTAATGTATGCACATGTAAGCTGATTTGCTGTATTGCGGAG